ATAAAAAGCAGACGATCTGCTGACTCTTATAGTGAATTTATAACAGAACTGTAATATCTAGACATTTTATAGTTTGCCAATGTGAATCATAATTCGCACACACACCCAAGTGTATGTTGTCTGTCTCATTACACTTCACGGCGAAAACAATGATTCTGTTGAATGCTACGACAAATGAATAAAAAACAAAATGCAAATATTAAAATTAAAACAGATTAAAGTTATAGGAACAATATCAGGCCATTACTTTGTTTGAGGAATGTATCCATCAATATCCACAAAACTGTTCCAAACGATGTGTCTTTTAACAGTTTAATATACGAAAAAGTGATAAATCTTTTCAGGTATTGGTGTATAGTCTCATTGGTCACCCAAGATAGCACACCTGGCAACTAATTGCATAATGTCCGCCTTTCTTTAAGGTTGCAAAAAACAGACTATTATTTTACGTTATGCGAGTGGAAGGATTACCATTTTGGAATTTAACATGCAACAACATCCGGAAAGAAACAGAGAGCTTACAAATTATTTTGTGATATTTGGTGTAGAAGGATTATCGAAATGTTGTTGTAAACATTTAGCATTTGGGTATATATAATAGATCATGAATATTTTGTTACCACTGTCAAAATGGCAAATGCTATGGTGCGGGTTACATTGATTGACAACATTCATAGAGGTCAGAATCTTTACCACAATGGATTCAAGTACAGAGTCAACAGACGCAGAGCTCAGAAAACATACTGAAGATGTACAGATGCTACCTGTCCATCATATCTGGTTACAGAAAACAACCTGCTGAATATGGTCGGTCAAGGCCACAACTATCCTACTACCACCTGGATAGAAGGTCCATGGACACTGCCAACTTGGAATCATTTTGTTTCAAATACTGCGCTTTGAGACTCTGTGAAGTGATATGTAGGTAGATATAGTACTAATCTGTGGATATAAAAACATTTCAACATACATGTGTGAGGTTTAAGATGTTTTTGACAGCGCGGGCCAAGTCGGGCTGAACAGAGACTAAACATTTTTGATTGAGGCTATGTTGAGAATGGAGAGAGAAAAGGGCATCACTTTAACCAACCAGTTATCTTTACATGTGACATTTTATAACATCACACATTGATAGTTAGGTAGATATAATACCGAACTATGGATTTAAACACAAATCATGATACTTGTGTGAGGTTTAAGTTGGTTTTGAGAGCCCGGGCCAAGGCGGACCGAACAATTGTGATACTGTGTCTTTGTTGAGAATGTATAGAAAAGATAGCTTCACTTTGACCAACGTTGTTGCTTCAAATACTGCGCTTTGAGACTCTGTGAAGTGATATGTAGGTAGATATAATACTAATCTATGGATATAAATACATTTCAAGATACATGTGTGAGGTTTAATGTGTTTTTGACAGCACGGGTCAAGTCGGGCTGAACAGAGACTAAACACTTTTGATTGAGGCTATGTTGTGTTTGGGGAGAGAAAAGGGCTTCACTTTAACGGAGCAGTTTTCTTTACATGTTGCATTTTATAACATTACAAAGCGATATTTAGTAGACATGATACCATTCTATGGATTTTAACAGAATTCAAGATACGTGTGTTACGTTTAAGTTGCTTTTGACGGCTCGAGTCAAGCCGGACCGAACAATCGTGGCTGAGATAATGTTGAGAGTGTGGGGAAGAGATCGTATCATATAAAGGTGGGCATGCTTTAAATACGATGAATAATGAATTGATCGGGTGGTATGTGATTGGATATAGATGTAAAAACATTTTCCGGCCGATGGAAATGTGTATCGGAATTGACTGAAGTATTTATACGTTTTAAATTCTGTTTCGTTCAACGATTCCACTTTAAGACGTAACCTCGGTCAGCCAGTTCACAGGCTTCTCGTCTTCCTGAGTTTTAGCCGATTTACTCGTAATAAAGTTGTTATGGTACGCCTTTATGGCTTCTGATTGATCATTATTACCATGCGTGCATGTTGCATTAATTAATTGTAGGCATGGTTTTCGTTAATTGGTTTCTTAGCCAATAATATATTTGGCCCGCCTTGGCCCGGCCCGGCCCGACTTTTACGCCATCCCAATAATTTGGAAGGTTGGCACAACAAAATCAACAAGAAGACAAAGTCATCGATATCTCCCGCAATGGCAAAATACTCTTCATGATTATGTCTCGAGTTATGATTATGTCAAATATTTAGGTGTGTATATAGAAAAGTGGAAGGAGAGTATTGAAAGGTTTTTAAAGTTCTGCTCGAGAAAGGAGCACTATCACCAATTTCAGTCTAAGTAAAAGTTGTTGCCATGGAAACGCCAAAAATATTTTATTCAGAATTCCAAAACTACCAAAAGGCACCAGTACATCACTAGATCTATGTATGTGCCAAGTTTGGTGAAGAAATAGTGAATGGTTTTAGAGTTCTGCTCCGGAAAAGAGCACTACCACCAATATCAGTCTAAGTCAAACTTGTTGCCATGGAAACGCCAAAAATATTTTATTCAGAATTCCAAAACAACCAAAAGGCACCAGTAGACCACCAGATCTATCTATGTGCCAAGTTTGGTGAAGAAATATTGAACGGTTTTAGAGTTCTGCTCCGGAAAAGAGCACTACCACCAATTTCAGTCAAAGTCGAACATGTTGCCATGGAAACGCCAAAAATATTTTATTCAGAATTCCAAAACTACCAAAAGGCACCAGTACACCACCAGATCTATCTATGTGCCAAGTTTGGTGATGAAATAATGAACGGTTTTAGAGTTTTGCGTCGGAAAAGACAAATGTGCACGGACGGACGGAAGGACGCAGTCCATTTTAATACCCCCCGCAAAACGCGTTGCGGGGGATAACAAGTATGCCATGAAGACACATCCAAATGTATTTGAGGTTGTGCGAATGCCACAAAAAGAACAGTCATCAGAGAGATCCTGTCCGTAGACGTCGCTACCGAATCATCGACGCTAGGATTCTATCCTTGAAGGCCGACCTTCTTGCCGACAGACTTACTGTCTTGAAAGTACACAGACCATGTGTCAGAGTTGCTTCATCTTGGCTGAACATTCAGATCACTTAAGTGCAGACATAAAGGAGTTTTGGCAAGAAGAAATAACTGGACTCATCTTTTATGTATTTATTACTTATACACCTGCAGAAATCACTTATTTATATAAAACTCACACAAATATATTGTGTGAGCTTTGTGAAATATATATACAAATATGTTATATTGTGTGACATACGATACATGCATGTTGTTATATAGACTGAATAAATATATTGTCTACTATATATATCACACTCTGTTTTAATTGGTTTGTTAATTTTGAGAACACTGGGAGTGAAGTCACTCATGTAGAACATCACCTCCCTTTTCCCGGACTGTCGACAAGTAATTTGGACGGATTACTTCTTGTTGTCGACAGTCCTGGCATAAACCATTTGCAAATTCCCTCACGGCTCATTGTGTGTGCATATATAGAGGTGTTGGGTTTTGTAAATACATGCTCATTTTTGGTGTATAACATTTTGCAATCAATATACATCATAACATGTCATGTGTTCAAGTATCACACCTGCCTGTCTGTCTAATTACATGATGTGACATAGACCGAACTCGGGCCATAAATCAATGCGTTTTGTTTATGGTATATAGCCTGATTGGTGTTAAGTTCAAATTGCATGTGGTCAGTGATCGCAGTTGTGTATTGAATATTGTCATTAGCAGACAGGCAGGCAGACACACAGGTGTCAATAAAACAAGACATTGAGTTTTGTTTGTGACAACGACATATCTATATCACAGTTAGAAATTCTGTCAACGCTAAATAATGACATTGCTTTTAAGTATCGAACTGAGAAAGTGACTAGGTAAGAAAAACGTGGACATGTGGTGAAATTGACAAATGAAATATAAACAGTTAATTTACTGTCATAACATATAAAAAGCTCGCGCCTGTGAGATATCAACAAAAATTTAGAAATATAGCCCACACCAAAGCCTTCACCGAGTATTCACCGGACAGCCCGCTTCCAAGTTGCGCGAACCTATTTCACTGCGCTTGTGCTATGAGCGCACCCCAGCTGTTAAAACCAGTTTTTCCCCGAAAAGTCTGGGGAAAATTAGTGAATCGTTTGAACTCCGATTTCGCGCGGTTTTTTTTCATCGCGTTATTTTTCAACTTTATAAGTTGAATTTGCATTTTTGATGATTTGTTTTGGTAAGTCCATACCGAAAGGTTTCAGAGTTGTGTTTTATGTTGCATGTGACCTTTAAACACTCCTTAATTTCAATACATTTTTTCAATAAATGATATATTTGAAAAAAAATAAGGATGAGGCTTATGATAACTTCATGGAATTTTGGGCTCTGAGTAAACAATGTTGTGAATTAAACCAAAATCAATTCAATTTTTTTTGAAAAACGTGACAATAAAAACTTTGTCAATTATCAATTATTTGTACTTGCCGTTAATGTCAAAAGGCATAGTACTATTGATAGTGAGTGAGTTAGTTTTACGCCGCATTTAGCAATATTCCAGGTATATCACGGTGGTCGACACCAGAAATTGGCTTTACACATTGTGGGATCGTGGGCGTAACGAGCGATAGTCACTAGATTACCCCACCGCCCCTGTACTATCGAGATTACCCCACCACCCCTGTACTATCGATGAAACATCTGAGCAGTATCATGAAGTTACGAATTTGAAGCAGTTACAAAGACTTCATAAGATTTATGAGGAGCGAATAAAAGATAAACGTTTACGTAATCGGTAAATAGACTGACTGTTTCAGCTGAGGTCAAACATTATTTTAATGTCAATAAATATGTTACATTTAGATTCCTGTCCAGACATGATAAATGCTGAACTCTGACCTTGTTCATGTAGCATCAAAGTATTCAGACTGGATACAGTTTATACTCAAACTAAATCTTTGATCAACAATCAACAAGGTCTAATTGCCATGAATATATATCACTTACAGGTTCCTGTACGCAGACACGACAACCCTGACTGCTGAGAATGTGACAGGTCTGCTGTACCTGGCCAAGAAATACGCTGTGGGGAGTCTAGAGCGTATGTGTCTAACTTTCCTGGAATCGTCCCTGACGGCAAAGAACGCCTGTGTCATCTTGGAACAAGCCCACGTCTTTGACGAGGAGAAGCTTTTTGACAGGGCTCTGGAGCTTGTTGTCAAACATGGTGCTACCACTGTTAAAAGCTCTGGCTTCACATCACTTTGTGCTTCTTGTTTTCATAAAGTTGTAAGCGCAGATGATTTCTTAACAAATGATGAAACAAGTTTCAATGCTGCCCTCTCGTGGGCTGAGACAGAGTGTAAACGCCAAGGAAGGGAGATAACTCCAGAAAACAAACGTCTTGTTCTGGGAGAAACCGTGTACGAGCTTGATTTTACCGCAATGGGAACGAAGGCTTTCGCGAAAGTAGTTGTACCGTCTGGAATATTATCGGGCGACGAATGTACCAAGTTGTTGTGTCACATGATCTTACCTGGTACCGATGTGGCACCCTTCAAAATAAAGCCAGAACTTGACTCGTGGGTCACTCTGTATGCAGATCGAATTGACAGGGATCCAAGTAAGATTGACTCTAACCTCCTCATCATCACATGCAGCGACGACAAGCGCCTACTTGGTTTCTTAGCATATGGTGATGACAGCTGCAAATATAGCATTTGTCTTTATCGAGAACAGGATAAAAAAGATGGGTATTATGGTACTATTAAAACCTGGGTCAAAAGAAAAGCAAGTGTATCATTTGTGGTGATGAGAAGCTTTGCCAACGAAGTCCAACTGAAGGTGTCAGAGGCATTGGTTCTAGAAAAGTTATGCAGGTATAAAATTGAAGTTACAAGAGAGTCAAATAAAAGTGCATTCTCAGGCCCCTCCGTATTCAGTAATATCACAGTTGGGAACTGCCAGATATCAATTACAGAAGAACGTGGCCCGGGTCTCTGAATACCCTTTTTACTGAATCATAAGTGTATCTAGATTAATTTGATCATTTACAAGAAGTACGTTACAGAATGTTTTAATATAGATCAAGAGAAATCAGCCCACAAGCTCACCGATGATTGAAGAGACAAATATACATTTGATTCCAGTTTAGACAAGACATTAATTTCATAATAAGCCAGCCAATAGACTTTATGTTAATATCCCAGTGACAGTTATTTTGAAGGGTCAAGTCTAGATGCTTGTGATTATCTATGTCTTGAATTATCACACCGCTCATTGTAAGGTCAGGTTGGATGCTTCTGTTAAGTTTTCTACTAAACAGTAAAATAGGTTTGTCGCTGTGGTGACAATTATATACGTTTGAAAATGTAAAAACCTGCAGTGAGAACACGACGCCACGCCAATAGCAACTCCATGCTTGTTTGATAGGTATTCTTGTCGATGCATAGAGAAGGGTTCCCATATTCATTATTGTATCATTATCGAGATAAAGGGTAGGTTAGACATTTGGGTCAAGGTAAAAATCGTTTGATGTTTGATGTTTTGACAACGGTGTTGTTTTAAGGGATTCTTCAAGATAAAAAAACGTGTTCACTCAAGGAAAGAAATAAGACATGTATACCAGACTACCAGTATGATATTGAATCCATGTTAGTGAGTTCACAGTCACTTTGATTTATAAATTAGTTCACTCAATTCATAAGTTGTGAGTTATTCATTTTCTTGCAGAAACTTGCGATAAGAATTTTGGAAATGACAGTTTTCAGCATTATTTCCACAAATTCAGTTATGGTAAATGCACAGTTAGACTAGAAGTTTCTTCTTACTTTTCGTGGTTGAAGATATCTATGTGTAAATGGTTACCGGTATATGTTCATTCTGAACAAGAGAGGAGAGAATGGATCTCATGGAGATGCAGTCAGAAAGACTGCAGAGCAACAGTCTCAACATTGAACGACATAATGTCAAAAAATCCTGGCCCGCGTTTCACAAAAGCCTCCTAAATTTAGGAGGTTGTAGACCCTACGACCTTGTTTACGACCCTCTTCCGACCTCCTTTACGACCGTTTCACAAAGACGTGATATCCATGTCGTGTCGTACGACGCGGTCCTAAATCCATGTCGTACATTGTATAAGAGGTACTTTGTTGCATAGCAACGCATAAAGCGAGACCGAACGGGCACCTGCTTATCTTGTTATTCAGTATTTCAAAATAGAAAAACAGTTTGAATAACAATGCAAATGTTATGTTTTTAATTCAATGTACAGGTTATCTTATGGTAAAACGATATCAATAAATGAATTATTTTGGATTCTCTCACTAAATTTCATTGAAAATTACAGGATAAAATGTATAAATCATTTCCATTAATATTATCAGTTTTACTTATAAGGTTTGAATTAAATCGCTGTTCATTAACTTGTTCATTTGAAATTGCAATATTGGTCCCAATGTATTGAATATTGCACACTATAGGAACTAAAGTCAGTGTTGCAGCTATGGCTACGTTTGATCTACTAACACTTGTGTAAAGGTTTAAAATGTGGTGTAATACCCAAAATGTGTCAATTTCTTTTGTAACTTTTATTCAAACAATCAAAAACTTTCAAAGAATAAAAACGTATACCCTGTATCCACGCATGATATGATATTGAACAAGGCTAAATGTAGGTTGAATCTACTGAAATTGGTTTCATGAAGAAAAACCCATCTGAATGATACGCAAAATATACATCCTAGTACTGAAAGTGTAATCAGAAGGATAGGACGATTGTGTTTACTCTTTTTTTCATCCGACCTTCACCTCAAAGACATTGCCTAATATGTAATACTACAACAATGTTGACGTGTGACATTACAGCTGATGACCGATTTCTTACAAAATGGCGGCTTCGCTGACAAGGGTACACAGGATTTTGCGAGGACTCTTCCCTTGCTTCAGGGATCGTTTGTACATAAATATGAAATGTAAGTAATCAGAGTGACTCTGACTATCTGTGTATTGTTATGCTGATAATTACCGTTGTCGTTCTGCATGATTTTGCGTCTGTTATGGCGTCACGCTGCACGGAAACTTTGAATTTCTTATTAAGTATCAAATCAAATCATTGCATTGTATCTATTTTTAGTTTCCTCTTTTTTGCTATGATACTCTTTCCATACATATTCTAAAGGTATTGAGCCATTGCAAGCAATGAATAGCCGGCTGTTACGCAGTATAATTCGAATCTACTTCATTTACATGTCAAACTACAGTAGCGCAGTCTTCCGAGCACAGCGTTTGTTTTCACACCCAATATCCAGTTGGTGTTGGTAACAAAGACCAACTGTGATTTGATTTTAAAATTTATGGGGATTTCATAGATGCATTTGTCGCAGCTGGCTATGACATATACGTGATGTAATAGGCGTCTCAATACCGGCTGTGCGAGACGTGATTTTGTAAACACTATCCAATAAGGCGGAAAGCGCACTTCGGCGTTCGTGTAAGTATATTTTCGAAAACATCCAAACCGATTCTAGGTTCATCGGCAGCGTTTCAGATTATCATTAGTGATATCATGAAAAACTGATTTCAGTTATCATTAATATGTTATTTTTGAAATTCAGTACTCCCAGTAATTATCCGATTTTCACATTTGAAAACATGCTGTCTATCCTGTACAGCAAATAATGCTGTGAATCGTGATTTCGTATTGTGTATAAAATGGCGACATTTACGATGAAGCCTATTTTGAAAGGTTATTTAAGCACTTAAGCTTTGTCTTTTAGCTTTACTGTGAAGTCTATTTGTGTGCCTGATATATTTAGAATTTTATTGGACTTCAAAGTGAGGGTTGAAGAGGAAGGATATATGTCCCTGTGGCACCCAGGGTTTTTTAATCAAGTCCAGATACACGGCCAGAGCACTAGCGGTGTCGCGGAGTATTCTCAACAGACTAGCTCGGGATACTCCATGGAGATCCCTGATTTCACTGAGGAAAATCCCTTTTGCCAAATACCTCTGTGTACACAACACTTGCAGGGAGGTCGGAATAGCATGTGAACGCCTTGTTCAGTTGAGGCTCTAACTTTCTGCACAGTTAGAAAACAACATGAGTGTCGAGCACGTTCGACCTGTCTCAAAATTTCTGAGGTCTTCTTTGTTTTCTAACTGTGCATTGAGTCTTAAGTGCACAGAAATCATAAATAAACATGAGTGGGCGGAGCTTATGTGCAGCAAATTGGATGACAAATACCCGAATATGGAAAAAAATATTCATACCTAATTACAATCAGAATTATTTCAGAAACACAAATTAGTTTTTGAACTATTTTACATAATGTATACGATTCTGTAACATTATTGTGACCACAAAGTGATGAAGAAACAGAATTCATGTCAGATAATCGTTTTCAAACAGGATGACATTTTGTTTCCATTTTAAAACAACACAATTAATCGTCCCATATATGCAAAGGAATAATACGGTTGACAAGTATAAAATGATTAAGAAAACTTTTTAAGATTTTTTTCCAAATTATAATGGAGAAATAAATGTGGGCTACATATTCGAACTTGACCATGGAAACAGTAAATGTTAATTTGAATTTCCTCTAAAAAAACAAGAAGCAAATCATATTCTGCACATCAGTGGCTTTAAGTTTTAGCGTTAGCCGGGAGCAGTACCGCAGCAAATCGGGTTTTACGAAATTGTGGACTGTTTATCCAAGTTCTGGTCGCTACACACGTTGTCTGTGTAGGCGATGTCCCCGATGATGATGTTCACAAGGCCCTTCAGGATTAAGTTGACTCTAACCTGCGCACCTGCCATCACGAATATGTGTACGATAGTTCGGTGTCAGTTTGCAACTTAAATTTTATAGCAATGTTTTTCGAATTAAATACATCTGAAATAAAAACGCCACTTAAATACAGGTCTAAACAAGCGAAGAAGATAAAGATGCCTGCTACATATTGAAGTTGGAAAATACCATAATGTACCTAGGGAAGAAATAATATGTGTCCATTGTTTATCTTTAAATCTTAATCGAATAGAAGACTGGTTCAAGTCTTAATAAATTCTATGTTCTATTCTGTTCTGATAAATATTCTATTATAACAATGTTTTGAAAAGAAATGTATATACTCACGGCATGGATTATGCTTCCTGGCACCGTATCTTTAGCTTTGGCGGTACTCCCCTAATTAGCTCTCCCGGGAAATCCAAAATATACATTTTAGCCTTCCCGGGACATCTGAAAAATACATTTTAGCCTTCCCGGTACGACACCGTATTTACAAAACCTAACATCTCTATATATACACACACACAATGAGCCGTGAGGGCATCGGCAAATGAACCAGCCGTTACACTTGAGTGCACACAACCCGCTCGGACAAAAGCCACCCGGACAAATGCCCCCTAGGACAAATGCCACCCAAATAAAAATAAAAACCACCAACACAATAACATTTTTAAAAAGTCAACATTACTATGAAATCAAAATTTTACATGAAAATCAACTTTTTAATCAAAGTGAATATATTTTTTTAAGAACCCAAATTATTCATCAAAGTCTACATAATTTTACAACAAAATCAACATTAAAATCAATATGGGTGGTAATTGTCCTTTCTTTAATGGTAAAATAACAGGGTGTCATTTGTCCGGGTGGCTTTTGTCCTGCTCCCCTTCCGAGTTACAACTTGTTTTCATAGACGATTCTGTCGTAATTGCCTGGTGTCGCTGGGCCTTATTTGTTCGAGCCAGCCGCTAGTGATAGTGAGAAGAAGAAGAAGAAAATATTTTTATTTTTGTGTCACATGTTATATATAAAACATACATAAACTTAAAAACATTCAATAAAATATAACATCCGGCCATATGGCCTATGAGACACAAGGCACTATATTATATCTAAAACAGATAGTAGTAAATAAAATCTATGATCAGCCTCGCTCATCTCGGTTACGGTTAATTTCTTCAACCTGAACAGTGCGACATTAGGAAGGGT